AATCACAAAAATCATACTACGAAGATAGCAGCAATAAGACCTTTGATAGCAAGGCAAACGAACAAGCTTCCACTCGGGGACGATTGGGTAATCTTTGGTTCGATAGCAAATTCCCACCTGGAAGTTAGGTTTGCTACCGAAGAGAGGTTATCCGACTGTTCACAAGAACAAACCGCCAGAGGACTATTAGGTATTCTTTCGCTCGATAGCATAGATTCCTACGGGGAAACAAGATATGTTGTCGAGTGAAGGATTACCTAGCAATTCATTGGTGGAACCTTCGAAGAAACAAGACTTCTAGTGTTCAAATTCGCATTCTTCGCATTCAAACACTGGGGTGGGAATGATATGAGGATACGACAATAATAATTGCCAAGTCAATCGGGAACGAAAATCCAGAACATCATCGGGATCGGGGACTGCGCAACTAGCCCCGTAGAAACAAGTTGTACAAGATAGCCACAAGTAATGGCAATTTCTTTTTCTTTTTTGCATAGCAAAATGCTTATGTAATTTCTAAAAATATAAGGAATGAAATGAAATCCTTTTGCTTTTATCTTGTTTCTTGTCTGAACGATGAGTTATCTTTGTCATTTGAAAGTTAAACAAGTACTTCAAATGTTAGTGCCGTAATGAACAGGAGACGTCCTCCTCAAGAGCACCGTAAACATAAGAGGGCCCTTTCTTATAAAAACCCTCACGTTAAAAGGTTGATTCCGGAAGAATCAATGCTTAGTATCCAAAATGCCATCGGGGAAAAATGCACCCAAAGCCGCATATGAAAAGGATGCAAAAAGCAAACTTGCGCAAATATTCATAGAAACCCTCACGTAAAAGGAAAACTTGCGCAAATATTCATAGAAACCCTCACGTAAAAGGAAAACTTGCGCAAATATTCATAGAAACCCTCACGTAAAAGAAAAACTTGCGCAAATATTCATAAAAACCCTCACGTAAAAGGGACAATACTCGGAACCAAAATGCTTGGAAGAAAAGGCATCCGAGACTACACATAGTAAAGCACGAATAGAACAACATGCACATAATGCTTGAGCAAATGCAAAAGTTAAAGGCTTGCATGGATATTTAAACGAAAGTAAGACTCAAACGATACTTGAGAAAAAATAATATATCTTTATTTACAAGAACGGGCCAAAACTTTATGAGTACAAAATGGGAAAAGAAAGAAAAAGTTAAACTACGGCGCCTCCGGCACCAGTAGGAAGAGAAGTATCCGCATTGTCGAGAAAAGTAGGTGGTTTCGCCGATGGCTCAACGCTTTCCCCAGTTTGGTCTTCGTCCTCATCACCTTCCGATCCCTCTTTAGTTTCTGAAAACTCGGAACCGGAATCAGAAGAACGTGGAGCATCACTGCACCGGGAGTTCATTTTTTGCAGCCAACTCAAGCTCTCGGGCCTTAGCAATTTCGGCATCAACATCAGTGATACCAGCTTTGGCCTCTTCCAAGATTTTTCTTCTCATGCTATACATGGAATACATTTTTTCAACAATGAGGGAAGTCAATCGGCACTTAAGTTCTTCTTTGGGTTTAGTAACCTCGACGGAAAGATTTTCCTGGGCGGATCTAGCAGAGTTGAGGCTGGCGTCGAGCTCGCGGACAGTTGAACTAAAGAGCCTATTATGCTCGATAGTTTTCTGTACTTCTCTTCTACCTGTGCATGTTTCACCTCCACAGAAGCAAGCTCTTCGCTTTTGGAGTTCAAGGCTCCAAGTTAATCACTCTTTCAGTGGAGGCAGCCTCACGGTCGGTTTCAGCAAGAACAGCGTTCTGCACTTCTGCCCATTTGGCCTTGGCCTCATCAAATTTAACCCTCAGCGGCCCAATATCTTGGACAAGGGTTACCACTTCTTGCTCGCTTTGCTGAAAACGAGCCTCTAAAACAACGTCCTCAGTAGCTCTGGTTTCTAATTTCGAGAGGCGGAGAACACTCTGGTCCCGTTCCGCCAAAAGTTAATCTCGTTCAAAAGTAAGTTATTCCTTCTCACGAACCAACCTTTGAAGGCCCTTAGAAGCAAGAAAGTTGGCTTATAAAATAAGATGAGATAAAACTTAGAATACATTCGTTCAAAAGTAGAAGAAATAACAGAGGAAGGAAGGAACGTATCACCGCGGCATTATGCATAGCGTTGTTCAACAAACACTCTCCCGAGAGTGTCTGAATCTTTTCCTAGTCTTTTTCTGAAGCCAAAGGCTTCAGGTAATTCACAAGCTCCACCGGTCGTGATAGCAGGTTGCACCCGGTAGAGACCGAAAGAATAATATTCCTCCTCCTTTGTGGATCTTCAGAAGGAGTAGCATAATTTTGCCCCAAATTCCCATGAACTGGGGACTGTGGAAGAGGAACACCTTCTTCGTGGATAGGTGCGGCCGATGGAGAGGGTGTAGCAACTGCTGGTGGAAGAGTAGACGAAGATGGAAATGACGTAGTAGTTGTTGGTGTTGGTGAAGGTGGAGATGAAGTTGATGGAGTTGAAGAGTGAGAAGCAGTTGCATGAAATGCAGTGCTGGTTGTTTGATGCTCGCCAAACAAAGACGACAAGGATCCGGTGCTCATCCCCGCAGCACCGATTGCAGCATTTGGGGCCTGAAAATGGGAGTTGGCATCTTCTACCAAATCAGATTCTCCCCAAAGTGCCGAGACATCGTCTTCTGTTGGTGTAACTATCTCAACAGGTCGAGCATCCTGTTGAGATGAAGAGGATCGTCGCCTTCTATGTAAAGAAGCTCCATCATCAACAGCTTCTTCATCAATCATCACGGTATCTACGACCGGCCCAGAAGGAGGACCAGTCATCATCGCCACCGGAGATGATTCGGGGGCATCAATCTTTGCCCTTTTATTCTTTTCCCCGACCGTGGAGAAGGGTATTCTCTTTGTTTCTTTATCCTCCGACCGCGGACTCCGTAAAAAAGTATTCGCACCTAAAACAGGCCTGGAGATGCATGTTCGAGTAAGTGCTTCCTGAAGCAACCTCGCTGCTTCAGCAGGATCAACCACAACGTCCTCCTCGGGGACAGCAACAGAGCCCGCAGGTAGACCTAATTCTGTGAACAAGTTAGAAAGGTTCAACCAAGTTCTTCAAATATAAAAATGGAAGCAAGGTAAATTAAAGTTACCATGATTTTTGGCCTTCCACCCGTATTTAAGGGCCAGTTTTTTCCATGAACGAGTTCCGGGCGTTATGACGTCCAAGATCTTCTGAACCCACCGGTCCAAACCTTTCACCACCGGTGGGATCCATCGAGTTGCTGAAACATGAGAAGGGTGAAGAGATGATACGGCCATAGAAGAATATCTAGTAAAAGGAATATTATACAAAGAACTTATGAGTGCGGTTCCAAGCAACCGGAAAGGATGAAGCCGTTGTCGGGACGATGTCATTAGTGGAAACTGCAACGAAACGTTCCATCCACCCACGGTCGTTATCATCATCCATGCTAGACAACAAAGCATGGTGGCCATACTTGCAAAGGTTTATCATTCCCCCGCGAAAGATGTTTGGGGGATAGAGATTCATCATATGAGCTAAGGTTAGCTCCTCTCCAGTTTCTTGGCACAAACGTCGGAGGCCGGCGATCGTCCTTCACATTGAAGGACTTACCTGTGCCAAACACACCTGGTAGCGAAGGAAAAACTCCGCAATCATGGAATCAAGCTCTCCGCTCAAAGAAAACGCACCCAAAGAAAAGGGATACATGAAAAAGTATGTAAAACCTTCCTTGGGAAGGGTCACTCGCTCCGATAGATCAGAAGCAATAATTTCCAACTCATTGCAGCGGCAGTCCTCCTTCATAACAGGAATACTAGAAGGACGAATGGAAGAAGGGTACCTACTAATAGTGCATGTATAAGGTTAGCAGTAGGAAATTTCTCTTCAAAATCCTTCGAAATACTAAGCCTTCTTGGGATGATGGAACCCACTGTTAGAGGAATGGAATCCTCGGTTTTGTTCTTATTCTTTCGAGAACCAGCACATTTAGAGGAAGAAGTCATTGAAAAAGAAGAAGGTAAAGAGTTTGTATTTGAAGAAAATTAGAAAAGGGAGGGGAAAAACGGATGCAAATCAGAAGCTCAAGCAATTGTGAAACGCAAAGGAAAAGAAAGTTGCGTATAAGTAAAATTTTGGCGGCTAAATTCATGGCCATGATTACCTCGATAATAGGCAAAGGTTGTACTAAATCATGGGATGACGCTTGTTCGGAGCATTAAATGCGAAGAGACGTACGTCTAATCAACTATCAGAGATCTTGAGAGGGAATTATAGTAATTCCCGCCAAAAAGGTGTTTCTACCAACTTTCCGGTAACACAAAGTTATATCACCGGAAAGCAGGGGGACTATCTGTATAAAGTAAAATATGATATGACGTGTGGCTGACTAAAAGGAGGATACGTAGAATCCAAGACGGGATGGTTGAGGACCGAACGCAGCCACTCTGCTTGTCACCGGAAAGGATAACGTTCATAAAGGTGTATTAAATGCTCTGCGCCCGGTAGCATTTACTAAAGAATATTATACAGCATTAAGAGCGACGATCCGTTATAGAGAATTTGGCATTTATGTTCACCATTACATCTTCATCAATGACCCTCATAATTGGCATTAAAGGAGGGTATGATCCTATGACCTTTTTCCCTAGACATAGCTATAAATAGTGAGTTGAGTTACCATTGTAAAGGACACGAATTTTCTGACAAAAATATATACTATATTCTATACAAAGCTTTATACAATTTGACTTTATTGCTTTTTGATCTCATCATTGTTGTGTCCGAAAACTGTGTTTACGAGATTATTATTACTGTTGTTTCATCCACATTCTAAGGCTAAGTATCGTATATTTTTTTAATTATTATATTATTTCAGGATCAAATAGTTCACTTGTCTAAAAACCACGTACAAATTCAACTGTATCATTTTACGGATAAACAATAAGTATTACTATTAATTATGTTAGTCCCAGATCGTCTCTTCATAAGAGAGAGTGACATTCAATTCTTGTAACATGTAAACTAATACATGCGTCCATTAATATTTTGGGAGCCAAACTAATACATGCGTCCATTTGAGATTTGAGCTAGAAGGTTAACAAAAATTTGTACAAATAAACCCTTCACACCCAGAACATTTGCCATCATTGTAAACCCTTTTTTTTTTTTTTAAATACTAAAAAAAACTAACATAAACTAAACCTCCCCATATCAACGTGCCCTTATCTCTCGGCGAAAGAAAGGCCTAATTAAGATGGAGGGTTGTGCCATTGCACGTTACAATTTTTTACGCATGTGTTCACAACTCCTACATCACTGTCCACTGACTCAGCCACAGCTCATCAATAATTATGCTTCCACCTCCGCTATCCACGGCAGTTTCCACCACCGCCCGTGGCGGCGATTCTTGATTTAACGTTCTCAAATTCAGATATCCGACACGGGATTTGGATCCCACCCGAATGATTATACCCATAAGTCATTTCTGCTTCCCTCAACAAATCCGCAAACAAAGGGTGATTAAAGTATATCACAGGCACCACAACTCTACACGTATCATCTATCTTCTCGCCCACGTACACAGCCAAGTGCCCTTTCGGTACACTCACTTGCTTTGGATCAATCGGTTCTTGCCCGACCCTTATGTAACCCGAATTGGGTTTAGCAAAGCAGAGACCTTTTGCTCCATGCTTCAGCAAGCTTCCCAATTTGCGTAGCTTTGAAATGGCTCTGCTGGCACATCCCTGAGAACTCAGTCGCTTATGTCCGACTCTTGCCTTTGTTCTCCGGCGAATAAAACAGCTGAAAACTCTCACCAACCTCCGCCCAAGTCTGAAACCTCTCCCTTTCTTCATAACTTAATCGTCAAAGAATAATTGTTGGTTTCCCAAAGAGAAGACTGAGTTCCTTGTTTTATGAGAGCTGTGACAAGTGAAATTTGATGAAACAATATATCACAATGTTTATATATATATATATATATAGAAACTGAGGGTGGAGTTTTGAAATGGTCGGCACACACGAATTGGAGAAGTGATCAGAATTGTTAGACTTTGAGATTTATTATTTATGGAGAGATAAATACTTAAGAGGGAAAAAACGGACAAGGAGGAAATGTGGTCAGCTGAATAGTCGCTATGATGTTTCGCGACTGTATGGAGTTTCGGGGGTCAGATAATTCCAAGAAAGTACTCCTTTGTCCCATTTATCCTAGTTTATTTATGTGAACCAGCAAGGATTAAAATACTTAATTTTTAGTGCAAAATTGGATCGTAAATCTTTTAATAAAATTCACATTTTCAAAAAATTAGATGAAAGTTAAAAAGAGACTAAATCAATTATATTAGTTAAAAACAAATAATTAATATCTATGATTGTTATAGACCATAAGTTTCAAAAGATTTTTTTTTCTTAAACTCTTTTGGCGAGTCAAACTCCATCACATAATTTGAGCCGGAGCAAGTAGTTCATTTAACACAAAAAAAGCATATAGTAAGATTGAATTCATGGAATAACAAATGAAGACAAGCATAATACGCCACATAACAGTAATTCTGGGAAACTATTCAACTCTAGGATTAGATATTAGATCTACAAAAGCATAAATATACATAAACTTGCTAACGCACAAATTGAAGCAATTGAAAATAGGTAGAGGAGTGTTTTCTTTTTTTAACTTTCATTAATACTTTCCGAATTTAAAATTTTCCTTAAGGTGCTTGACTTTGTTGTTCGCATAAAAATAATGGTGCTATTATTTTTGTATCTTTATTTATGTTATTTGTGTAATTACATAATTTTTTAATAGGCAGATCTCCGTGAATGTAGAAATTTTGGCAAAATTCAACTAAACAGAAAAATTTAGCGCACTTATTTTGAAATAGAGAATGTTAGTGGAATTTTCCTTTATACATTTCCCTAATCTTCCGCCACGTTAGGCCATTGACGACATCTCATTATTGGAACTATAAATTATTTTTCGATGGTGAGAGCATAGAACGTAACTTCCAAGTTCGAAGTAATTTACCAGATCATTAGAATAACCAAGCATTAACCATAAATGTCGAAAATAATGATAGTTACGCAAAAACTAATATTTGATCTATTATCATAATATTTATATAAGAATCTTATCCACCCTCGTTCAATAACAAATGTGCAAAAAAACGAAGGTTAACATATTCAATTTCAGCAGCAATTTGAGAAGAAAAAAAATCCTGAAAAGGCGAATTTACATACATAGAAATTTACGTAAAATAACTACAATTTGTCGTTTACAATTTTCAAAAATTATGGTCAAATACAAGTCGAATCATTTTTCAAATAATTGTGCTTCTCTTCTTAATAAAGGAGCATTATTCCATTTGACTATTATTCATCATATATTTGTAAGCTTGAGAATTGTGAAAGAATGCAAATTTCAGTGACAAAACCTTGTCCAATGATAAAACTGAGGTGCATGTATAGAGGAGAAGAATGTAAGCATTTGACGAAATTTTGGTATACCAAAAGATTTATATTTTTGAAAAAAGAATGAACATCTATATTATAACAAAAGGGTATAAAATGTACAAAAATTATTGGGTTGGTAATACACATGGAATGCTGGAGTCTGGACCATAAAAGATTTGAATCCCCCATTCAATATTGATTTTAGATGGGGGACTTATAATTGATCACCTCATGACCACTGATGTACAAGAGCATTATATTAATTAAAATTATAGGTTATATCATTTTTGGTATATTTGCAGTAGGATGCACAAAATTATATACAACATACATAACTCTTTTTTTTCAACTTCAACTTTTTTAAAAAAAAAATAAAGGAAGAGTAAACTTTCACTCCCATAAAATCTGAGACCAATCTTTTTAGGACACAAACATATAACCAAGAAATTGGAGAGAATTTGGAAGAGGCACTAACTTTAGAAGTAACCGTACTGATGATGAGAAAAAAGAACCGATGATGAAGTGATGACCAATGAAGAATATAACTACTCCCTCTTGACGTGAATCTATTTTATTTTTGGTCCATTTTAAAAAGAATGATCCCTTTTTAAATTTGGAAATAATTTAACTTAAATTTTTAATTTTACTCTTAATGAGAACCTTTTATAACTATATAAATACTCTGGACTCCTTTTTGACTTGTTTAGGACCACAAATTCTAAAAATTTCTATTTTTTTTAAAATTTCGTATTCAGTAAAACAAATTCACTGAGTAACTCGTAAAGAGCAGCTATAACGGAAAAGAAACGTGAGGCTTTTCGAATCCAACTACTTAACGCAGAAGAAGGCAAAAAAGGACAACCAAAAGACACATTAAAAGGTACTAACTACAATTATTGGAAGTGCTTATATGTACACTGAGAAAGTGAATGTTGTGTCACCATTCTTGCCAAACCTTTTGTTGGGAAAATAGTACAGTGGTTAACATGCTACTCCCTCCCTTTAGGTTTCAGTTAAATACTGTCCGTCGGAGCTCTTTATAACAGTATTCCTATATAACAATACTCCTCTGTAAAAACCAAACTTTTTCGGAATCAATTTTTATGTTATGTTATAATATATGATCTCTATAACAGTACTTTGCTATAACATCTAAAAATATTCGAAACAAACGAAACTGTTATAGAGAAGTTTGACTGTACAAGTTAGAAAAAAATTCTTTTTAAATCTGGTGCTCTGCATGGTCACTTGTAACTTCCTCGCGTTATGTACGATCATTTTGAACCAGTAGCTTTTGCTAAAACAGTATATTTATGTTAAGAAATTTATTAAATATGAACAAATATTAAATCTAGAACTCCATTGTTAGTAATTGACGTCGTCGTTCAAAAATTCAGAACTCATAAAGCTAAAATTTTGGCTCCGCTTCTGACCACTTGGTACCTACTCTGTACTCAAAACGGCACTTGGAACCTACTCATACTTAGCACGGCTACGTGGAACCTACATACCCGTGCTTAACATGACATTTGGAACCTATTCATGCTTTGTACCACTAGCAACCTACTTGTGCTCGGCACGGCCACTTGAAACTTTCTTGTGCTCTGCACGGCTACTTGAGACCTGCACATGTTCAACACGGTCACTTAAAACCTACTCGTACTCAGCATGGCCTCTTGGAAACTTTCGGTGCTCAGTTCAACCACTTACAACTAGTCATGCACGGTCACTTAGAACCTACCCATGCTCAGCACAATTATTTTGAGAGGGGTTCGGCACACACGATGAGAAGTGATCAAAACTGTTGGACTTTGAGATTTATTACTTATTAATGTTATGGAGAGAAATAAATAGCTTTGAGGGACGAGGAAGAAGAGTGGTCAGCTGAATAGTCGTTGTGATGCTAGCTTCTCGGCTGATAGAGTTTGATTTTGTTGTTTACACAAATATGAAAGGTCACATTATTTGTGATATCTTTATTTTTGTAATTTTTTAAAGGGTAGATATCCGTGAATGTAGTAAATTTATCATGTTTTTAATTAACTAATTGTTTTTGCATAATGGCTCACTCATTTTGAAATAGAAATAGTTAGTGGATTCTTTAATACATCTTCCTGGTACCCGCCACGTAAGGGCATTGACGATATTTGAATATTGGAACTGACAACTACACCAATTCTTTAATACATATTGGCTTGAGGTCCTTTTTGGGTAGTCGTTTTTGGGTGTTTTGAAGCTGTTTTTCAGCTGTGTTTTGAGCTAGTGCTGCATATTATCTGTTGTGGTTTGTGCTGGCTAGTCACGTAAGTAATTTCTCAAGTCTGTTCATTATTGCATTTGGTAGTACTGTTAACTGCTTTTGTTTTTCCATTCTGGGACAAGAAGCATTACCAACTCATGTTGCTACAATTTATCGTGAATTTTTTTGCCTGATAAGGTTCAATATAAAATGACCAGTCATTACAGACAATAAGAATGTATACAATTAACAAGATAAAACATCAGGCTACCATATTCTTAAGGAATCATTTTAGTATTTAGTGAAGCTTAGTTTTTTTTTTAATCAAAATGCTTACTAAAAGACCTTTTATAGGTAAATGGTTTTCCACACTGTTTTTTTTCTGGTTCTTGGTCTAGAATATGGAAATTCTGTGATAGCTGTTCCTTTAGAAGAACTCGCTAGGAGTCAGTCGACCGATGAGCAAGGCCAGCCAATCATGCCATCGGAGGAAGAAACTCTCCCATATTGGTTGAACGTGGTTGGAGGCGTGTATAAGGGTAGAGCATACGGCCTTTCCTCCGAGCGCAACTATCATCGCCTCGAGTGTGGACTACAAGGTATATATTTTTTTGTTAATAAGCTTTTCTTTTTGTTAGCTGTGTTTCGGGGGTTGTTATTGGCAAAGATTACCTGCGTTTCACTAATGTTAGAGAACATATATAAAGCAAATGTTTTACTATATAAAGTGTGTAGTTGTGAAAATAAGTACATTTTGGTTATATTTAGATTCTGCACTTCTGTTTTAGGCAGTGATGCAAACTTAAATAAAATTCTGCACTTCTGATAATTGTAGTAGGATTTGTTTAGATTCTGCACTTCTGATAATTGTAGTAGGATTTGTTTTGGTTTTCCCAAAGAGTTTGAGAAGGCAATTTATACAAGCAGTTGAAGAAGCAGATGAAACTTCTAAGATGCTGAGCTCATAGGGTCCATTCCATGTGCTAGCAAGTTGCAACATATTGTAACATCAATGAATGCAATATCTAATTAATCTTTTCTAGTCGTTCCATTATAAAAAATTATGTCTATCTGTTACTCTCTTCGAATCGTATTAACGAAATTCATAGTATGATGGTTAGATTATTTAATTTTCTATGCGAATTTGGATATAGATTCTTTAATTTTTTAAAATAAACTTTACACATTCTAAAATAATATAGTATGAAAGTACTATACTGAAGCAAAAAAAAAGTACTATGTCTATGTATATTACAATAATTAATAGCTTAAGATATTGAAATAACACTTAAAATGATAGTTAAGGAAAAATTTCTTTAAATAGAACACATAGAATAGAATTTTATATAAGTTTGCATCTCTCTTTAAATTATACTATTTCCTGTCAAACCGTAAATTGCAAATACTGGATCTGCCTTTGTTGCATCGTATTGTTCAAGTATTGTAGTTGTTTTCAGTAGATCTGATTTTTTATGTGTTAAATGTAAGTCAATGATGCGATTTTGATGACAAAAACAGCGCTATTTTAGCTCAATTTTTCCACACGTGTGTCTCAATTATAGCCATTCTTAGTGGTTTTTTTTTTTTTAAAAACTAGATCTTCAAATTTTCCTCTATTTAATGATGCTATTGTGAAATCTGCTAAGAGGAGATTGGTAATTATTTAAAGATCTCAATCTTAATTTTTTCTAACATTACTTGAATTTATTAACTCTTTTTGTTTTATTTACAGGAAGCTGCTCTTAAGATACCCTCGATACGTTATGAGGTTTGAAAGAAGACCCACACAAAAAGCAAAGTAGGGAAAAAAGCTTGGGTTGAGCCACAGACTGAGGAGGCTTATGTAAGATCAAGATTTACTTAAAATTCTTGTATAATGATTGTTTATATACTAAATTTCATTTTTAATGTAGAATCGGTATAAACAAGCAGTGGAAGAGCTCGCTAGGAGTCAGCCGACCGATGAGCAAGGCCAATCAATCGTGCCATAGGAGGAAGAAACTCTCTCATTGTGATTGAACGTGGTTGGAGGCGTGTATAAGGGTAGAGCATACGGCCTTTCCTCCGAGCGCAATTTTCATGGCCTCGTGTGTGGACTACAAGGTATATACTTTTTGGTTAATAAGCTCTTCTTTTTGTTAAGAAACTTTAAGGTCTGCAAACACTACTTCATAGGCTATCCTTTCCAACTAAATATTTTAAGTCTTCTGTGAGAACCCTTAGAGATACACTTTATATAACAATGATAAGACCTTAGTTAAAGAATCCGAATCTATTGTACTATCGTGATGTCACTTGATATCTGCACATAACTGATTAAAAGTTGTATTTTCATAAGATTTGTAGCCTCCATCTGTTGTTAGTAAGGACAAATTGGATTTTTAGAGGTATAAGAAAGACGACAGGAGATACAGATTCTTCTTGTGGTCAGAAAGGCTGAAATGCTAAAGGTATTTAAGAGGGAGTTACTGGTGCACTCTTTTGACCATGAGTTTGCTTGGTCACCAAATTAATTTATAACATTCGGCTCCAAGTCATAGTAGAAATTTAGCATCACTAGGAATCAAATGGTTGGACAACTTTCACTTACAATTTGTTGACAATGCTGATCATTCTTTACGGGAAAAGTTAGACAACTTTAGTTTTTTTAGTGTTAATAGTTACGTTTTGTTAGAGCAATTTCAAATTTATCAACGTGCCTGTTACAAAATCAATTCCCTCCATATCATAATAATTAATTGAACTAGTTAGTTTTAAGTAGTTGAAGATGTTCTCTACCATAGTAAGAGTATTCCTATATCTAGTGAAAGTAATATGCTGCTCAAAACGTAACCGAAGTTTCTACTTCATGGTATGTATGGTAGTCGATGTTTTCTAGTTGAAGTTTATGAAGTTAGGTGCTGAATCATTCAATTCTAACTCTTCGTGTATTTTTTCCACTTCTCTTTTGTGGGTTACAAGGTATTGGGACATCCGCTACCGTACAAAATGAGGACCTTGAAGAGATGCGGCGAACGATTCAACAACTTTCTAGAAACTATGTGGATGAACGAGAAAAAAGAAAGCATGAAGAGAAGATTATAGACGCACTTAGGAATGACATCGACTCCCTCAAGGCTCAAGTGAACCACTTAATCGGTCTGCCCCGCTCTTCGCCAAAAAGCCACATTCATGAAGAGGATGAAAATGATGGAAATAATATAAATGATGAAGAAGATGAGGGGAAATCCGAAGACAAGGAGTGATTTTATGTTTGGTTGGATTGTTGTTTAGTTGGATGTTAACTTTGAATGTTACATTTTGAAGTTTGGCTGGAGAGTTTTGATGTTTGATGGGATAATTTAGATGTTTGGATAGTTTATAAAGTTTTGTTATTGTTACATTGAGTTTTATTGTGGTTGCAGTTTTGTTTCTATTGTAATGTTCTGGCTGGCAGGTGGTGCAGCAAAAAATAGGCACTCCCTGGCAAAAAATACCAGATTTATCGAGGGACTTACTGACAGAGTCCGTCAGAATAATTATTCATTTTCAATCCAGCATTCTTAATTAACGAGGGAGTCCGTCGGTAGTCTTGAACCAATTTTTCAAATTTTGTTAAAAATACCGACGGATATCCATCGGAATATGAATTTATTTATATTTTTAATTTTTAAATTACTAAATTAAAATTCTAAACTTACCGATGGTGTCCGTCGGTATTATTAAATTATTATTTTTAATTTACCGATGGATATCCGTCGGTATTGATATTATTAATATTATATTATTTTATAATATACCGACGGATATCCGTCGGTAAGTAAAATTATTTGACCAACTACTGTCAGAAATGTACCGATAGCTTTCCGATGGGGTCCATCGGTAATTACCGACGGATTCTGTCGGTTTATTTTACCGAGGAAGGATTTACCTACCAACCACTTATCGGCGGACTTTCGTCGGTAAAGCCTTATTACCGAGGGACGTCCGTCGGTAATTGACGTCGGTAATAGTGATTTTGAGTAGTGCTAGTTGTTCTTAATTTCTTCATAGGAGGTGTTAGAGTTTAGCTTTAGTATTGGGTCAATTCCAGTTATCTTAGTTTAGTTTGTATATTTATCTTGTATTAGTCCAGTTATTATTTTACCCAGTTAATGAGCCCATTAAGCTTAGTTTGTTTTATCAGTTTTGCCCGTTGTATATAAAGAACGTATACCATCATTTTGCAGTAGTTTTGAAAATTTTTAGAATTCTCTCAAACACTCCTCCATCTCTCTAGCTTTGTTTTTCATTCTCTGTCCAAAAATCGCCGGATTCACCATTTATTCCGGCTAGTTGTTCTTAATTTCTTCAGGGGAGGGGGAGGGGTGCTAGAGTTTAACTTTAGTATTGGGCCTATTCTAGTTGTCTTAGTTTAGGTTGCATATTTATCTTGTATTAGTTCAATTATTATTTTACCCCGGTTAGTTAGCCCATTAAGCTTAGTTTGTTTTACCAGTTTTGCCCTTTGTATATAAAGAATATATATCATCATTTTGCAATAGTTATGAAAAATTTTAGAATTCTCTCAAACGCCCCTCCATCTCTCGAGCTATGTTTTCTATTCTCTGTCCAGAAATCACCGGATTCACCATGGATTTCGGCTAGTTGTTCTTAGTTTCTTCATGGGGGGTGTTAGAGTTTAGCTTTAGTATTGGGCCTATTCAGTTGTCTTAGTTTAGTTTGTATATTTATCTTGTATTAGTCCAGTTATTATTTTACCCGGTTAGTTAGCCCATTAAGTAACTCCTAAAGGAATTCCTTACCAAGAAAAAGATGGAGAGGAGCAAGAGACTTTCCCTGAAACCAAGCAATCCTGAAGTCAATGGAAGAAGTCATTACCATTGAACTTTGACTTTATATATATATTACTAGTTTTGCCCTTTGTATATAAAGAACATATATCATTATTTTGCAGTAGTTATGAAAAATTTTAGAATTCTCTCAAACGCTGCTCTATCTCTCTAGCTTTGTTTTCCATTCTCTATCCAGAAATAGCAGGATTCACCATAGATTCCGGCTAATTGTTCTTAATTTCTTCAGTGTGAGGGTTCTTGATTCTGCCATTCATGTCCACAAGAATGAGAATCGACAAGCAGACAAGTCAATGTCATTAAGTTCTCCCAATTTGCCTGTTTGTCTTTCCAATTCCATGCAATTTTTAAGGCACTTATGTCATGACCCGCTACATCATCATGCTACGTAGGTGCCATTTGTCATATATTAATGTCATGTGGAAGTTTACATATGAAATAGACTAGCACATGTGGGAAGGTTCTAGAGAAATATGAAGATTTCTCATGAAAGACCTTAGAACCCTATGAAATTGCTAGGAAAGTCCTTAGAAGATTCTAGCTATGTAGAATATTCTAGAGAAAGGACTTACTTGTAAATAATAAAGGCCTTGTGTAATAATTATTATTTACTCACTAGCCCTTATGAAACTAGTATATAAAGGGGGTTATTCATTTGTAACTCATCAAGCAAACAATTCAAGTTCTCTCTAATACAAAGCTTCCTTTAACAATTCTCTTACGTTCTTTCTACCATTCTCTTCGCGATCTTGAGTGTAGTAAGGCTGACTTGGCATAGCAAGAACGTGAGCAAGTTGTGCAAGATCGTTAGTGAGTTGTCAAGTGCCGCACGTGTACTTAGTTAACTACTAAGGACGTGACAACGTGGTATCAGAGCAAAGGTTGCAACTAAGGGAATGGCATACAACGGAGAAATTAACGCTGCCAACACGCAAGCCAACGTCATCCAAGATATTGTTGGCAAGAGTGGCCGTAACAAAAGGAGGATTTTTGCCAACAAGAGCCAGGAGGTGCCACCCGAGGTTGTGTCAAACGAAGGGCTTATATCCCAAGAGCCGTCTGCCCTGGAGGCGAGCGAGGATGAAGTGGAAGTCCTGCCCGAGGACGTCTCACTTAGTAAAGAGTGGGTGATGAAGATGAACACGGGGATGGAAGCCGTGGAGATCTTTGGCCAATGCTTAGGGAAGGTGAAAGGCACCCTTAGCATTCTTGAGGGGCACACTCTTGAAGAGATTGAGAGTATCCGAAATGACTTGGAGGGATGTACACAAATCGAGATGGAACTAAGGAAAACCATCACTGCCTTAGAGTGCAGACTCATGGAGGCTTTGAGTAATATCGATGCTATGAAGGCAAATATAGAGTCACTCAACGAGCATGTTAGTGTTGGCGTGCCGAGGCAGCCAACAATGTTGTGATGATGAGGGAGGCCAAGATCGAGGCTCCCAAACCCCAGTGTTCAAAGGTGTTCCTGATGCACAAGAAGTGGAGAACTTCCTTCGGCACTTGGAGAACTACTTCAGGTACGGTATAGTGAGGAACGATGAGGCTAAGATCAACACGAGTGTATTGTACCTCACAGAGATTGATGTGTTATGGTGGCGTCGAAAGTGTGCTGACACTGAGAAGGGGCTATGCAAGATTGAGAGTGGGAGCAGTTCAAGAAGGAGTTCAAGAAGCAATTCTACCCGGTAAATGTGGTGTATGAAGCTAGGCGGAAGCTAAGGGAGCTCCGACAGATGGCCACAATTCGGGAGTATGTGCACGAGTTCACTACCTTAATGCTGCAAATCCTTTAATATCCGAGGAAGAACTATTCTACTTCATGGATGAGTTGCAAAATTGGGCAAAGCAGGAGTTAAGAAGGCACCAAGTAGCCAATGTGGACGAGGCCATAGCGGTACCCGAGTCGCTTGTTGACTTCAAGATGGAGCCTGCCAAGTCCAAACAAGGTAATGCTGAGAGGGGTGAGGGAGATCATGACGAGGACAATGGGAAAGGCATAGCCGAGATATACAGGGTAATGGCAAGGGGCCATCCCATAACGGACATGGGTCCAAGAGAAATGGCAAGGGGCCGAAAAATGGTAGCGAGTACGTGCCTAAGGGAGGGTGCTACTTCTATAAAGGATCACATCGGGCAAGTGAATTCCCAGATTTTGAGAGGCTTGCAGCATTGTTCGAGAACTTTCCTCAGGCACACAAGAGTGACACAAGCAGGACTGCCTGTATTGGGGGGATGCGCTTTGAATCTAAACCAAAATGAGGGGATTCCAAAAGCCTATCTTGGCACCATGCAAATGGAGCATGGTGGCAGCAAGAAAAGTTGGGCGGACATGGTTGAAGATGATGGCGAGTTACAAAGTGATGGCAAGCTATCATACTTAAACGATGTACCAAGAAGAGGGGTCAAGCTTTCTAGCAAGACTGTGACCACGGAGGGCTCCCAAATAGGGAGTGGAAGCATGGACTCGATGCTTCAGAAACTACAAGACTTGGTTGAGTCATGGGGAGATTTAGTCCAAGAGCAAGGAGAGGCATTCGATAGCGGAGGATCGTGGTCATCATTGCTAGCCGTCCAAAGTACAAATTGGGCAAGAAGAAAAGTGACTAGTACCTTGTGACATGAGAAGGCGAACTGCTCCATAGAGCATCATGGCTAATGGACAAAGATCTCCGGTGGCACCAAGGCAAGATGCGCGCGTACGTGTCGATGTTTTGTGCCGAGGGCGGCACAAAATTGGGTGTGGGAGAGTGTCATGACCCGTCACATCATCATGCCACGTAGGTGCCATTTGTCATATATTAATGCCATGTGAAAACTTACATATGAAATAGTATAGCACATGTGGGAAGGTTCTAGAGAAATATGAAGATTTCTCATGAAAGACCTTAGAACCCAATGAAATTGCTAGGAAAATCCTTAGTAGATTCTAGCTATATAGAATATTCTAGAGAAAGGGCTTACTTGTAAATAATAAAGGCCTTGTGTAATAATTATTATTTACTCACTAGCCTCTATGAAACTAGTATATAAAGGGGGTTATTCATTTGTAATTCATCAAGCAAACAATTCAAGTTCTCTCTAATACAAAGCTTCCTTTAACAATTCTCTTCCGTTCTTTCTACCATTCTCTTAGCGATCTTGAGTGTAGTAAGGCTGACTTGGCATAGCAAGAACGTGAGCAAGTTGTGCAAGATCATTAGCGAGTTGTCAAGTGCCGCACGTGTACTTAGTTAAGTACTAAGGACGTGACAACGTGGTATCAGATCAAAGGTTGCAACTAAGGGAATGGCGTACAACGGAGAAATTAACGCTGCCAACACCCAAGCTAACGTCATCCAAAATGTTGTTGGCAAGAGTGGCCGTAATAAAAGGAGGATTGCTACTAACAAGAGCCAGGAGGTGCCACCCGAGGTTGTGTCAAACGAAGGGCTTACATCCTAAGAGCCATCTGCCACTGAGGTGAGCGAAGATGAAGTGGAAGTCCTGCCCGAGGACGTCCCAC